TCATTCGTTCGTTCGTTGGTTTGTTCGTTCGTTCGTTCATTGATTAATTCGTTCATTTGTTCTTCTGTCCGGGTAGTTTTATTTTTAATTTATTTCGTTAGAATTCGTTATAAACGAACTCCGATTCAATCCGTTTATTACGAAATAAATTATTGCCACTTTCTTGAAGCCTGTGCGTGCACATGTTTCAACTTTCAATTACGAAGAAATCAATAATTATAAATAATAATTATAATAATAATTATTATTATTATAAATAATAATAATAAATTTATTATTATTATTTATTATTATAATAAATAATAATAATAAATAATAACAATAATCATCGTAATAATTGACAGGGCGGTATTAGTTTTAGTAAAAATTCCGAAGGTTTTTGTTTAACAATAACAACATCAACAACAACAATCATATTAATAACAACAACAACAACAACAACCATATTAATAACAACAACAACCATATCAATAACAACAACAACAACAACCATATTAATAACAACAACAACAATAATAACAAAACAGTTCAAGGTAAATAACAATAATAATAATACTTTTATCATGGCCGTTAAACAATCCAAGCGAACCAAAGATACTGGATACAACAACAATAATAATAACAACAACAATAATAATAATAAAAAGTTTAAAAAATTCAAAACAAACAACAACAATAACAACAACAATAATAATAATAATAATAAAACATTGATGACGTCATCGCCGTTCGCGACTGATGTTAATTACTTGACGAATTATTACAATTCCCAATACAATAATAACAATACTAATCATAATAACAGTAATAATAATAATCACAACAACGGCGACGATGATGCTGATGACGATGGCGATCCAACAAATTTGATTGGCTACGGTACCGAACTATGGAGCGCCGATAAAAAACAGCAACAACAACATCAACAACATCAACAACAACAACATTTTCAGTATATGAAGCAGTTTAACTCGTCTTTATATTCGGATAAAAAATTAATTGGTAGTAGCAGTGGTGGCAGTAGTGGCGGCATTTGTAGCAGTGGCATCAGCAGCAACAACATTTACCCACCACTACTACCAATACCAACAAAGCGACCACAGACAACAAAACTTCAGCACTATCCGCCCGCCAATCAACAAAAAAGTCATCTCACATCGTCATCAGCATCATCGTCATTCTATTGGTCGCCCTATTGCTACAACAACATCATCAACACCACCAACAACAACATCCACATCAACATCAACAACAACAACAACAGTTACAACAACAATAACAGTACAACATTTTTTAATCACCCGTTCTGTTACTCTGACGACTGGTACAGCAACTACAACATCAACAACTACAACAGTTTTTACAACAATTTATGCAACAGCAGCAACAACAACAATATCAACAACAACAGCAACCCATATTACAGTCTCAACAGTGTCGATATGTATTACAACAACATCAACACCAACAACAACTTGTACAATAACGATATAGCGCGCGAGAAAAATTTCAAATTTTATCAGCAGCAGCCACAGCAGCAACCACAACAGCAGCCACAACAGCAGCAACAACAACAACAGCAGCAACAACAACAACAACATATTCTCCAACAAAATAGCAACAACTTCAACGTGCCACATTTCAACAAGGCCAACGTCAAACGCATTGAACCGCATCATCAACAGCAACAAAATTCATTCTTAACAACAACAACAAATCACAAACAGCCGCCACTACCACCACCAACAACAACAACAACATCAAAATCACTAAATAACATTCGCAACTTTTTAACATGGCCGACCGGAAATAGAATTCTCGATTTAAGGACACGTGATCTACAAAAAGAAAAAAATTCTTGGCTGGCCGTCGACAAAACTCTCGTCGAAAATCTAGTCGATTCCATCATGGCTGACTCCTCAACCGGAAATGACGAATATCAGGACCTATTTCCGGATAAAGATGGCGGACAGCGGAAAAGGCTTGCTGTTCTTTGATATAAAATATTTAAAAAAGTTATTTATTGATATTGTTTTGACTGTGTAATCATTGTTTATTTAGTGTTTTTGTGGTATGATATTTTTTTGAATATTTGTCATCTTTCCTATTAAATCTCTTTTAGTGTTTTTTAAGTATGGCTAATTTATTTTTTGTTGGATTTCTTTTTTTTAAAAAATTAGTATTGATACTGTGTAATTTAAAAACGTTTTAGCGCGTGTTTGTAGATTTTTATGTATGTCTGTATGTATGTATGTATGTATGTCTGTATGTATGTATGTGTGTGTATGTATGTATGTATGTATGTATGTATGTATGTATGTATGTATGTATGTATGTATGTATGTATGTATGAACCCGTTTTGATGAACAAGTCATGGTTAGGCATGCAATCTTTTCCGAGTTCAACTTGTATGTATGTATGTATGTATGTATGTATGTATGTATGTATGTATGTATGTATGTATGTATGTATGTATGTATGAACCCGTTTTGATGAACAAGTCATGGTTAGGCATGCAATCTTTTCCGAGTTCAACTTGTATGTATGTATGTATGTATGTATGTATGTATGTATGTATGTATGTATGTATGTATGTATGTATGTATGTATGTATGTATGTATGTATGTATGTATGTATGTATGTATGTATGTATGTATGTATGTATGTATGTATGTATGTATGTATGTATGTATGTATGTATGTATGTATGTATGTATGTATGTATGTATGTATGTATGTATGTATGTATGTATGTATGTATGTATGTATGTATGTATGTATGTATGTATGTATGTATGTATGTATGTATGTATGTATGTATGTATGTATGTATGTATGTATGTATGTATGTATGTATGTATGTATGTATGTATGTATGTATGTATGTATGTATGTATGTATGTATGTATGTATGTATGTATGTATGTATGTATGTATGCATATATATATATATCCGAAACTTCCCTCCAAACATCACATTGAAGACATTGCAAGTAAGTTATCTAAGGCAATAGGGATGATGAATAAAGCTTAAATCATTCCTACCGAGTAAATGCTTGAACTTGTTGTACAACTTTCTGTACACTCCGTTGTACAACTCTCTGTTGTACAATCCGTTGATAACCTACTGCAACAGAGTCTGGACATCATCGTATCATAAAAAAAAACCCAATCCCGATAGAACTCCTAGTGAAAAGAGCCATTAGAATCATAGCAGGATCGAAACGACGCCACTCAGTCTACCGTTATTCAGCATGATACAAAATCTAAATTTCTCAAAACTGAATAATTATTTTCAAATGACTTTCATGTATAAGCAATTGACAAACATGTTGCCAGAATTATTTCAAAATTATTTCCAAATCAAAGAGCAATCTGGACGACAAAATAATCTCTTTCATCTCCAACAAATCAAAAACCAACATCACCTTCTCGCATGTTTATTGTAAAGGGACAAGAACTTGGAATGAAATCGTGAACAGTGGTTTCAATGTCGAGTTTAACTCATTAAATAGTTCTAAAATAAAGCTGAAGGACTATTTACTTAATGACACGTGACCGTGAAAATTCTATTTACAATTTCCATATTAAATCTTGTCGTCGGAAACATTACGTATTTCCAATAGGTGACCATGCTAGATAAATTTCTTTACAAACTTTTTCTATGGTCACTCTGTCTCCTTATAATTATTAACTTGAGGAGTAAATAAAACTTCTTTCGTTTGTTCGTTTGTTTGTATGTATGTATGTTTGTATGTATGTATGTATGGTTTTTTTTTTTTTTTTTTTTTGTTAAAACCAAATCGTTGACGAATGACACCAAAAGCCAAGCGTCTGACTAAATTTGATTTTATTTGCTATAACGTCACTCAACCCCTGTATGTATGTATGTATGTTTGTATGTATGTTTGTATGTATGTATGTACGTACGCGTGTATGTATGTATGTTATTATTATTATTCAAGATATCAACAATCATGTTCAAGTAAATAAAGGAAATGGCGCCAGTTTATTTGAAAGAAATGTATGTATCGAAACAACTGTCTTCTAGAACAGTCTGCTTAAGGTCTGATGATAGAAATTTGTTAGGTGTGCCACAAACCAATTTGAGAATGGCGGGGAAAAGTTTCTCAGTATGTGAACCAACAGTATGGAATAGTCTATCAAGTTATCTAAGAAAGCCCGAACTGACAGAAAGATTATTCAAGAAATTACTGAAATAAATTTTTTTTATAAAGATTTGGATCTGGTCAAACTTTTTCGCACCAACCACGATCTTTGCTACCAGATTCTGAATTGACTGAACAGAAAACGATTTTTCTGTCAAACCATAAAATAGGCTGTTGCAGTAATCCAATCTAGAATGGATAAACGAACGCACTAAACTTTGAATAATATCTTTGGTTAAACTTCTTCGGATTATTTTTAAGTTTCGCAGTTGTAGGGTTGCGGTTCCAGATATAAATTTGAAATGCTCAGTCATTGACAGCCTTGAATCGAAAATAACACTCAAGTTCGTAGCTTTGGGAATGAAGTTTACATTTGAGCCTTCAATGATAACAGAGCAATTTCGCCACTTTTAGCCACCACCTTCTTCTATAACCTGACTTATATACACCGGTAACAAATTCTTTTCATTTAAGTGTTTTATAAACTCCTTAGAAACTATTCTCTCGATTAACTTTGACAGGAACGACAGATCTGAAACCGGTCAACAAACTATATTTATCAACACGGTAGCTTGGATTTTATTTGAAACAATGGAATAATTTGTAATCGTTAAAAACCAATTTATAAAGATGAATGAATGAATGAATGAATGAAAGAATGAATAAATGAATGAATGAATTGTTTATTTTACTTAGTACCGTAATGATTGATTGAATGAATGAATGAATGAATGAATGAATGAATGAATAACAGACGAATTGCGTTGATGAGTGAAAGATTAAATTAATGAATGCATGAACGTACGAAGGAACAAGTGGTTGAATGAATGGCGGATTGAACAAGTGAAGGAATTAAATAAAAGAACGTAAAAAAAATGTTTGAATTAGTTAAAAAAGAAACAATGAAAGATTGAATAAAAAACCGATGGTTGAATGAATGCACAAACAGAAGACCAAATGAATGAATGAATGAATGAATGAATGGATGAATGAATGAATGAAACTTTTAAAAGGTGCTTCGGAATTGATTTTAAAAGGGCGAACATCCACACATCCTACAAAATACACAAAATACTGAAGTTATAGTAATGATGATGACGGTGGTGTTGATAACGATGGTGAGGATAATAATAATGATGATGTTGATGAAGGAGATGAAGATGATGTTGATGAAGATGATGAGGTTAATATGATGATGATGATGAAAAGGATGATGATGATGATGTTGATAACGATGAAGATGTTGTTGATAATGATGATTAAGATGATGGAATAATACGGGTGAAATAACGGCGATGGCGGTAGTGATTATATCATCATCAGGACAAAAAAACGACAATGAACTTAGAGCAATGTTTACAGTAACATCAAATGTCAATTAATTCATATTTTATTATCATCATCTCTTCTTCATCAACACCATCATCATGACGTCACGATGACGATGATATTGTAATACTTCTTGCCATAAATAAATACTAAAAATTTCATCATCGTCGTCGTCATCATTTCGACCAGTATCCATCGATAACGATTTTTAAAAACGCGATTTAAAGACAGACAATCATGATAAATAGTAATCGTCATCATCGTCGTCATCATCACTGGTGACGAGGATTTCCGGGGAACCTTCTCATTGATTGGCTGATCGGAATGACAGTGGGCGGTCTCGGCTCGTAATAATAGCTCCCTGCGACCAATCAAATTCAAGTATTTTAAGAAGTCACTTGTTTTAACAACCAATCAAATTGAATTATTCAACAGAATGGTCTCTTTCGGAACCAATGAAACCAAAGAAAAAAAAACTAAATGAATAAATATTAACTAATCAAATTCGACAAATTATCATAACACTTCCTTCTTTAATCTTTAGAGCCAATCAAACTGAAGCACTTACATCATACAGACCAATCAAATTTTAGAATTTACTTCTACGGATCAATCAACGCTCCAGAACTTATCTCTACGGACCAATCAACACTCAAGAATTTATTATACGGACCAATCAAACTGAAGAACTCGATATGATTGGCAGACAGCGCTAGTAAGTGCTTTTAATTCTATTGGCCTGTTCAAATTGTTGAGCTATCTTTAGAGAAAATAATAACAATATATATGGCTAGTTAAATTAAGTACACCTAAATAAATATAAGTATATATATATATATATATATATATATATATATATATATATATATATACATATATATATGCTCTTGTTTTCACATTGATATTTCTCTCCTATATATCTATATACTAGACACAAATACGGAACAGTATATATTTATATATATATATATGTATATATATATATATATATATATATATATATATATATATATATATATAATTATTTATTTCTGTAACATGCTTATAATAAATAATAATAATGAAAACAAAATAATAATAATAAAAATAAAGATAAAATAATAATTAACAACGAAATTTTTTTTCTTATGAAGTTCTACTCTTATAATTCGACAAAAAGATAAAGCTAACAGAATTAAAATGATTGAGTGAGTGAGTGAGTGAATGAATGAATGAGTGGATGAATGAATGCATGAATGGACAAATAAATTAATGGATTAAACTAATACAAAATTATAAAAAAAAAACATATGCTGAAAGATAAACAAAACATTAATAATAATAATAACAACAATAACAATAATAAGGATAAAAACAATAATATCAATAATAATAATAACAATAATAATAATAATTATTATTATTTTATTATATTTATAATTATTTTTATTATCACCAATAATCTAACTAAACATAGAAAACGTAATAAAAATTAAAACCAAAATGTTAGAAAACTCCAACTGGCATCCAATTGTTGGATTGAACAGGGGACAAAAAAAAGAGAGAGTGGATGAATGAGTGAATGAGTGAGTGAATGAATGAATGAATGAATGAATGAGAAAATGAATGAGTGAGTGAATGAATGAGAGAACGAATAAGTAAATGAATGAAAGAACAAAATAATATTTGCAAAAATATGCCTGTATAATATAAAAATATATATAATCAAAAATAATAATAATAACAAAACCAAACATCATATATACAATATATATATATATATATATATATATACACACACAAAGAGCTGCGAAAAAATAAAAATCTTAATAAAATACTAAATAACAAGTCAATAACGACCAAAACAATAATAATATAAATAAAAAAAATAATAGAAAAAATAATAATAACAAAATGATAGTCATAATCATAGCCAGTTTACGGTTACCATGCGGAATTGTGGGTTATCTTTGCTTTACGATGCTCATCGATAAATGAGTGAGTGAATGAATGAATGAATG